CTGTCTAATGAGAACAATCTGGTTCAAGAACTGGGAATGATCTGCTGTAGGCTTTTGATGTTTCTCTTATGGTAATACCTTGCAATCAAAAGGTGATATATTTTCTCACAAACATCCTTGGGGACCACTAAATGTCACATGGTTGATTTTTTTTTCTGATATCTGAAATATTGCGCCATCGTTGTGGAATTTGGAAGTGACCTACGCATAGGATTAGAAATAATATCTTTATTGTACTTCAGTTGCCCTTATTAAAAAGCTCTCATAGTATTTTCTTGTACGTCTATGACAGCGCAAATATGAATTTCGTTAGTTGAAAGCAACTTTCTGATTCGATATCTCTGTGAGAACGTTTTTGCCGAGGCAATAGTGATTTGGAGTGCATTTTGACGAGTGAAATTTTCTGGGTGTTATTTATACCAGCTTCAGTATTTTTTTACATCAGCGTCCGTCGTCCGTTTTAGGACTAGTTCTTTTTCAGTTATTTTGCAAATTTTCTTCAACAACAAACACTTTCTATTTAGTATTTTTTGAGCGAGAAATACAGATTAAAGAATCGAGACAGTTTGAAAATATAAAAATAGGTTATATAAAAACTGATAAAATAATACTTTGACATTGTTTTCCGCATTCATCCGTTGTCTTGAAAAAGTTTAAAGATATTAAATGCATTATGGTTCTCTAGAAACATGTGAAAAAACAAGTAAATATCAGAAACAATTAAGAATATACATGGTATTTTATACGTCAGAAAGATGTACTTCTGTCTCATTAACCAGGTATATTTCACGCATGTAATTTGAGGGTTAATTTGAAGTATTCACTTCACAATTTCTTTTAACAAACTGCAAAGAGATATATAATTTTTGTTTTGTTTTGCATTTCCGTCAACCTGAGTTTGCAACGCCTCATATCACTAAGTGACCAAAATTGCGCGATATGCGGGCATTTGCCCATGTATTAAAGCGGCGCGTAGGTCTCGCAAATGGTCGGCGACCAGCGCTCCAGTGGCCACAATGTGAAATTCCGCCCGTTCGCTAGCTTCCATTAGGATCGGCGAAGGCCCGCGGCTATTAAGCACACTAGCGAGCTATGACTGAGCTAACAGAAAGACGGTGGGATTTCTCATCTCGGCCACTTCGTGCGCAGATTTGGCAGAGAGAGGATGTGTTCCACGTTCCTAATGCATTTTATAATGAATCTTGTTGCATTTAGTTGCAATTCCACTAAACATTAACCCGTGAAAGCCCGTCACCTACTGGTAATTCATAATAATTTCGCTTTTCTTTTGTTCAGTCTTTACTCGATTACGAGATTTCTGTTGTATATTCTTAACTACGGTTCGGAGAATGAGTTAAGACCATAATATTTTGCTTTGCTCTCAGTAGAGCGATAAAATTACCAATATCGTGGAAGCAGTTCTATCGAAAAGTGATTTTGTGCGAGATATTTACTTTGGGCGAGGAAAATCATAAAGAAAAATAATACATTACATTTTTAAAAACCTCTCTCTCTCTGTGAAGTATCAATTAAGCAATTCATTTTATACATTTCATGAATTTGCTGTATTTGAGTGCAGTGTTACGCCAGAAATACCAAGTGTCACCTACAGGTAACACTGGTGAAATGCACTCCCGTTCGCGTACATTTATGTCCTTCTGACGTAACGATCATTAGTATAAACTTAATCATTTCTCTTTATGTATAACTCGAGTTTGCACGAAGTACTAAGTTTGAAAGAAAAAAAAACTTGTGAGTTGGTAGATGACACCACGATTTTTTCTTCTGAAGATGGACTTTTCACGGACGAAGAAAGCGGGGATGGGAATACTCCTACAGTGAATCATCTTTCAGATATGTTGAGATCGAGAGGAGACGTAAATCTGACCTTAGTACCTGATGAACCAAGTCAACCACTTCTCCCAACAAAAGAACAAAATTCTCGCTCTTCCGTAAAAACTAAGAAACAAATATTCAAATAAAAGTTGTAAGTAGAAATGGTACGATGATGTATGTCTTTTTCTCGTTTAGTATGTTGTGACAAAGGTGAAAATATGAGTTCACACCAAATCAATATTACAATATTATAAATAGTCTATATACTGAGAATATAATAAATGAAATATGTGATCTGAGAAAACTATATGGTATGCAGTGGAATCGTGTTCTTGACATTGATACGGATGAAATGAAGGTGTACCGTTCATTGCAATATTATTACCGACAGGTAAAATGACTTCACAAAATGTTAGAATGTTTTTAGAAACCATCTCAGAAGTGCAAAATGGCCAAGTCTCTATCACAGTATATGAAGAGACAAATTTCTAGGAAAACATCAATATCTACATCATTCAAATATTTTTTGGCTTTGGTCTAGAACGCAGCATATCAAAATGCCAGGCTCTTGTCGAGAAAAATTGGTACAGAAAATAAGTTGTGAATTTGGAATAAATATTGTGCAGGTATATATTGTTGTAAGTATGGGAAGCATACTCAAAGAAATCCAGCATGTGGATGGGGTTCATGAAGAATTCCCGCCGAGTGCGAGTAGTAGCTGCGCCAGGTGCACATGGAAAGGGGCGGTGCCCCCAGAGGCGGTGCGCGAAGTGTCGTCTGCGCACAAGAGGCATGTGGAAACGATGCAAAGTGGGTTTACATGTGCATTGATGGATTGATTATCGCACACAAATGTTAGATTTGCTTTTCGGTACTTTTTTTCTAAAACAGCACTGACTTTTCAGGTAACCTGTATTCGTAGTGCCCACCTCAAGGTGAAACCACTATATTTTTTAATTTTCTTATATCACTAATGGGTCAATGGACATCATGGTATTCAATGTTAATTGACATATTTTGAGCAATAAAATATTTAAAACTTTTTTATTTTACGTTTGGTCTTTGACGGGGTTAATTGCGACGGTGAATTGTAGTAAGATATGTAGCAATGTAAATCATACCAGATTTCCTTTATTACTGGGTTAATTTTAATACGTTGTTGGAATATGTTGTTGGAGCATAGCATCGTTTCTGGTAAGGTGTTACAACTTGCATGATTTCTTACAAGAGATTTTTAATACTTGCAATCCTTGAGATATAATTGTCTCTTGTTTTGTATTTTCACAAGCCCGATCTTATAACTTGATGATGTATCATGATGAACGTCGAAACATTTCAATTGCGTTACGTAAAAATCGAACACCAAGAACATTATTTGTATTTGAATAGTCGCCAACGTATTGTTCAAGGCTTAATGTTGGAAATAGTCATCAATGTTAAATTCTATTAAAATTGTAAATACAACATATTGTCAATCTGTAAGTGCTACAGGACTGTGATAACAATGCAATAACGATAGTAAAAGTACTAACATAAATGTTCAATTTAAATATTCATTATTATCAGTTTGAGGCATTAATCTTTAACTGTTGCTGATACCAACCTTTCTCTTTAAGAATTATATTGACATTGAAGTTTGCCTATGCCTATTAATTGTTCAGCCATTATAATGAAACTAATATGCAATCCTGATAATACACATCCTTTTAACTGAGCTATTGTTTTTAAATGAATATCCACATAAAATACAGTCCACAATCATTTCTAACTCTTTAATGCCTATCCACCAGATGAGTGGCAATGGAGTTAAAAACCTATGAAAAGAAATTTGAAGGTGAAGTATAAATCAATAATACACTTGAGGCTAAAATTATATGGAACAGTGAGTGTGCTTTTAAACAAGAATCAGTCGTGTTGTAAAAAATGCAATGTATCAGAAATGGGTATTTGAGTAAATCAACATGTATTTAGTTTATTTCCCTTCTAGAGTCCATTTGCACACTAACTCTTCATATTTTCAACTAAAATACCTAATTAAGTTCATCAATTTATAAACAAAGGTTATTTTCTGTACATATACAAATATTTTTAAATCAAATTTCATGTATACTTTTAGTGATGGAAGCAAGAACGAAAGTCGTGCGCTAGCTCGAACTGCGAAAATAATCGTACCTCTTACTAGCTTAGCCTGAGGCCTCTGGAAACTGGTTAACAATTTTTGTGTGCTATGAAAGTTCATATCTGAAGATTGGGTTAAAGTAGGATACACGGTACACCCTCAGATGCGTTGCAGCAGGGCGTAGGGGTCTCCCTCAAATTACGATACGCGCTGAAAGAAATGAATAAAATTTACGGAGAGCTATTTTCATGGCTCACCCTTGATACGCTTTGCCCCCACCGCATTGTAATGCCAATTTACTTTCAACGGCAAGTTTTCTCGCTTCGCTCGCCCGGATCCAAGTCATGGCGAGGTCGGGCCTTCGGTTCTCGCGTTCACTATAAACATCCTTGAGTCTACCTACCGCATGATTACCAATTCACTGTTATAATACGGCACTTTTCAAGAAAGCTTCCAGAATTCAAACTGCGCAGTTACCGCCGGAACGGTGCGAAGTGCCGGTTTAAACCACTTCCGTAAGTTGTACCGTATACTAGGCTTCAGCCGAAGATTGTAACTCCGCGTGCTCGCGGGCCTAGTCAGGGGGTGGGCGCCAGGCCGATTTGCGGTTGGCAATTTGGGAGATCCCACGACTTGCCTGCTTCCGCCAACCTTCGACGTCGGTCGAAAACTTTGATGAATTCGCACGCGGTGGAGCGCGGAGAATCCTCAAGGCGAGCTTCTCTGGATTAGATTAGCGAGGCGCAACTCATTGGATTGGATGTGCTCTGTGGTTAATCATGCATAATACGATTTTTTCTAAACAATGGGGTTTCTAATGGGTCTCCACTTCGTTGATTGATTAATAAAAGATCTCACGACTTAAACATATCAACTTACACATATTTAAATTCAACTTCAATCAAATGAATAAACTTATGCATTACATTGGGTTCTCTTATCGCCTTGGGGTATTATTGGAAATTTACAGTTAATTCACCTTAATTAACACTTTGGCATGGAACTCTATCAAACACACGTCTTACATTAGTTCTGCTCTACTTACAGTACAGGCCCTTGTGAGTCAGCTGTCCTTCTGTGAGGGGAGCCTGCTTGGCTTTGCACGTACATGGCGCCCCGCGGAAGGTCGAAGGCTGCGAGGAGGGCGCGCAGTGGAAGCGAGAGGCTGCCAGGCGTGGCGAAGACGGCTGTGAGGTCGGCGTTGACCGGGCCTCGCGTGCGACCAGGGCCCTATAACTCCCATATAACGTGGTGGAAACCATTATGGTGGCGCGCTCTGCTGCATCACCTTCTTTACAGGAACTAAAACAGGAACTGCTGCCAACGATACTTTTAACGTGCGTGACTGCTGCGTGAGTTCGCGGGTCGCAAGCAGGATCATAATGTTACAAAAGATAACGTCTACGTTCGCGATTTCTTCAGAGGTTTCTTACAAGTAGACATTATGAATAATTGTACATTTAGAAGACACTTTTCGTATTTCTCACAAATTAGCCAATTTGTATGTGGGAATGTTGGCGAGCCTAACCTGCAGCTGCACCCGGCGACACTAGCGCTTCCTATAGTAGCAACCTCGAGCTTTGTCCCCAATTTTGATAGAGAGTTGCCGGGCCCTGCGTGCGACGGCGGTGAACTGCAGGACAGACGTGCGCGGAGGCAGAGTTCCTAGCGGTCCGCAATAGAACTCGTGCACTAATGCAAGGGGCACAGTCCCTTGCCCCCTCACCCCCCACCCCCAAGAAAATTGTTTTTCAAGCAGATCAGCAGCTGGTTTCTGCTTTACATCATTTTGTTGACATGTTTAACTTATTATACAGATTTTTTTCAGATGAACGTAACAAATCAAATAAAAAAGGAAAAATAGATTATAATATACAATACGAAGGGAATATAAATATTTACACTGGTTCTTACAAATACTTCTATATATAATTAAGGGAGTTGGTCTTATCCTAGGGAGGTGTGGGTTTCCTCATGCCTGCAGATTTGTTTTAAGTTTTTTATTAGGGGGAAGGAATAAATCTTTGGAAAATTTAGATCGAATTCTAGGATTTGTTAGGACATTTCTATTGAGATTGAATATGTTTGTGATTGTGCAATGGCTTAGGTTGCTTAAAAAATTATTAACAAAATGAGTTCATCAAAAACAGATCTTTAAATGTGGTCATGTTCAATTTTTTTTAAATATTAGTATTTTTGCATAATTTTGCTTCGAATATAGAGAATTTTTAAATTCGATTCCATATAAAGCTTCACTTTTTATAGAGAACTGGGCTCTTATTCTTGCAGAAAGCTAGTAGTACTCATCATTAGTCATCCTCTAAACTATACTTTCTTTTCACGTTTCGGAGTCTTCTTAATTCCACCTTCTAGCTGTATATGATAAAAAGATGACTGTAAAAAGGCATATGTAAGTCACAACAATTACCATCTTACATCAAATTATTTACATGTTATAAGTATATAATGCCATATAAATTTAAAATACACAATTTTCATGAAAGTCGTCATAATACTTCAGTAATACATCGTGCAATAGGTCTACATTGATAAATATTACGTAAATTATCATCTAAAAAACATACATCAAATGTCAATTACATCTATCTACACACGTAAAAATTAATCAAGTTCAATTCATGATTCATAGGCTAACAATGTAATCTGTCGTAATAAACTGTAGATGATTAAACTATTATAGTGTAGTAGTACGCGTTTATTCCAATGAATACACAATGTGAATGGTCAAGATAGAAGTGAGTAATATTTAAGTATATATCTACAGATTTGTTTATAGTAGTATTCGTTAATTGACTATTTGATATTTTAACTTAAAAATACGATTTAAATCTAATATGAAAGAAAAATGGAAAAAATGCAGTACTACAATTTTGTACAACCGTTTATTTCAATAATTTGATATTACTACCGTACGAGGCATAGTTGCTACACAGTGCAGCGATGGATATTTGAGAAGTTCATTGTTAAAATGCGAAATGAGGGGGGGGGGAAATATGGCGACATTATGAACGTTAATAGTACTATGTTGTCTTCGTTCAATAAAGTGGTAAATTCAACTTAATAAAGTCGGGAAGAATGAATGTACAAATATACATGAGGTAATGATATCGTTTGGATTGGCAAATTACATTATATGGCTTTTAGTTTTGGATGTTCAATGTATATGTGAAATTATTATTGCTTGCATGTATTATCTGTCGGGGAAAATGCGAGAAAGTATGTGATGCTAAGCACCATTACTTTGGATATTTGAACTTCTTCCCAGATTTTCCTCTTTCTAGGTATGTTTCTTCATTTTTATTAACACTTAACTTATATTTTACTGTCTACATTTGGCTCCTCCTTATCTTCTTCTCCTTATTAGAGCGTGTCATTTCTCCCAGATACGTATTCTCAGGGAGGCACACGCATTTTCAAAAATGACCATCACATAAACTGAGACCGATACAGAAATTATGAAATTATATCTGGATTGTGAGGAAAATTACCGTCTAGAAACTGAGCTTTTTTTTTGTTACAAAAAAAAGTTTTTTTATTAGACCAGTGTAATTTACCTATAATGAGGTTCTCAAAACATTATTTTATTCCGAATCTCTTTGTCCCTCATGTGAGATCCTACTCACAACGCGGATTTACAACTGCTCATCACACGAACTCACTGCAATTCGCGATCCATATTTTAAAGAGCACATTCCTATGTAATTATTGGGAGTTTAAAATTAACTTTTTGCAATGCGTTGGAAACAGTAGTGTCAATTCTGTAGTCTGGAAAATTAAATATCTCATTTCACTCCTTTAAAAAATTAAATATATCTACAGTCACGAATCGCAGAAAATTTACCGGGTAGTATATGAGCAACACTAGGATAATATCTTGTATACTTATTTAAATTATTTTAAAATACGTCTTTCAGAAATAAATTTTCATCATTTAGCGTATTTTGAACTCGTTTAATCCCGTGACATCAGGCAACACCGTGCTTCCTGTGAATGCGTAACATGATACAAATTGCATTTCGTGACCGAATATTAGCTAAGAATAATTTTTTAACCAATTAGTTTTGCATAAGATAATAATAATAATTATTATTACTATTATTACTATTATTACTATTATTACTATTATTACTATTATTACTATTATTACCATTATTACTATTATTACTATTATTACTATTATTATTATTTGTTAGGCGAATCGACCATCATGGGGCCACGCGATACGTGCATCCCACTGCCAGACTTGATTATCGTCGTAGATGCGCGTTACTTTTTCTACAGGGGGAATCAGCATTTTAACGCTGATTTCATTTCTATACCCCAGGGTTATTATCCCTGGAGGATGACATGAAATTTGATGATGAAGATGATGATGAATAATGAAATAGACACACAACATAACCATGCCCGAGGCGGGACTCCAACCCGCGATCTTCTGGTCCGAGACCGCGACAGCACTACTGCCTTAGCTCGGCCACCGTTTCGGATATTAATTATTATTATCATTATTATTATTATATAAATTACAACTTTTTTGTGCTTAGATTTTTTATTTTTCTTCTTACTCTTATAGTTGAATACTGTCAATTTACACTTTCAGTCATTATTGAAATTATCAGTAAAATAATGCACATGCTTTGATTTTGTGTTCGTACCACATCGACTAAATCAAACAATCTAAAACTTTGAGCAAAAGTAAGATTTGAACCAGCAACTCAGAGCAATGAGTAATGAATCATAAATACGTTGTCAAAACTTATCACATCTGGTTTGAACGCAAAAAATTAAACAACAGTAGTATTTTCGTAATCGAGACAACTTTAGAACATAAAATATACATTTTAATTTGATGATCTGGGAAAAAGGGAATTGCGCGTTTTATCACTATAAGATAAGTAGGGTAGTAATTATAATTAGTCTGCTTCATTTATAATTTGTCATTTCTAAAATGTCGGATATTCAAATACCCTAGATAAAGCTAGGGTATTTTTATTATTAGCAATCTTCTTCATTAACAGTTCGAATGATGTAGCCTAATAATCTAAATGTATTTCGAATGTTCGGTTCAAAGAGAAAAAAATATCACGCGCAAAACCTGTCAGCTTCATTTACGTTGTGAACGGCTGTTAATCCATTGCAATAATATATTCGTTTTACAATTTCACCTCTTAAAATGTTATATATCATCGATGCTTAAACACTCACTGATCAGTGAACAGAAAATCACGGAGAAAATTCAGTTTTCTTCATTGAGGACACTTTCCATGTAATTCGTTCATAGCCCTATCCATCAAATTATTGTTATATTTTCAAACTTGCCAAAGTAGCTCTCACTTTGAATCTTCTCTTAACCATTTTTCCTCAACATCCACTATACAGAGTGTCTCTAAATAATGTTATTAACTTTTACAGCATGTAGAGGAGTCGAATTGAATAGTTTTTAATCAATGAACGTATTCATTGATAAAAAGTGATTATTTCCGGCCCATGTACTACATGCGCTAGAAGTCTGTAGCATTTATTCTGAGACACTTGAAAATATTGATGTAATTTTCTTTCGACGATCATCTCTCAATCTTCTTTGAAGCCCCCTATTCTCACCATACCCACATTCGCTCATTGAACCCAGTGCACCCTTCCTAGACCCTCGTGCCCTCTCTAATCGTAAAGCCAGACGCCAGCGCCGGGGTTCAGGGGTCCCCGCAGGAGATCCGCGCCGTTTCGGCACTCCTTTCAAATCAATTGCGCGCAGAGCCTCCAGGGGAAGCGTGGCAGCGACCGAGCACCGGCTCCGCGCTAAGCTCGGAGGCCCATGAAACACCAATTAGAGCCGAGCACGGGCTGCCTGAGCTGCTGCGAGCGCCGCCCCGCCAGCTGTACGGGGGCTGCGGAGTCGACTTGTTTGTATCCTGATTAACTCGACACAAATTAGGGAGAACCGCCGTGCACGCGGAAAGGTAGACATATTATCTTAATACAGCTCTGCTCCCCATCCCCTTTCGAATTGTACGGGGGGAACAGGTTGGGGAAGAGAATTTGAAGGGAACGGAGATGCA